TATATATATATATATATATATATATATAGTATATAAAAATCTAATATAAAAAAATCCATATATATATATATATGGATTTTTTTTCTCTATTAGCACGCTGCAGAGACGGACGTGTCTGCTAGCATTATATAATTTAAATTTAATAAATAATAAACCTGTAACTGTGTCGCCGCTGTATCAGCGCTTTTCACTTTGTGTTTTGTGATGCTACGTGTGTCCTTGTGCTTCTTTCAAATTATGAAGAATGAGTAGCCCGTTTAACAGAAGTACGATGACGAATCGTAGCCCACCTCCCGTTAGACGGCACGTGGAATTGGACCCATCCCCAGCTCAAGCCTCAGCCCTCACCCTTTCTACGCCTGCACTGACTATAGACGCGGTCTCGACTCATGAAATTCAGAGATGGATGAGTCAAATAGAACAATGCCTGAATGACATCTGCACTATTTCTGGAGATGGGAAACTGAATACGGAGCAGAAGCTAAAAATTAGCAACATTAGCAGGTCAGTACTTGGAGGCGTCTCTCAATTGGCGGTGTAATATCAGTCCCTAAAACAAAAATATATTTCAGCCAATTCTTTGATCAGCACATTGAAAGATCAAGTCAATGTTGGTGACCAATTAAAAGACTTAAAATCTTGCGTACAGTCAGGCCCCAGAGTATCAACCCAGTCTTTTGCGGACATAGTTAGGAAGAGTGGTTTGCCCTCAGTATGTCCATCGAACAGTATTGCTATTTACCCACCCAATAAAGATGCGTCGAGCGATGACACTAGAAAAATTGTTCAGAATCTAATTAAGCCTGAAGAATTGAAACTGCATATCAGCGGTATGCGTAAAACAAAATGTGGAGGAGTTATTATAAGCACGGAGAGTAAGGAAGACATACTAAAGCTCAAACAGTCTGAACAACTGAAAAAATCAGGCCTGAAATTAGAAGATGCGAACAAAAACGGCCAAAGATAATATTATTGGGTGTGCCCCATGCATGTCATGTCAAATAAGGAATTATTTGACTGCTTGTACGATCAAAATTTGTCGGAGAAACATCCTAGCTTAAATAAAAGCAACATAGAGAGCGCAATTAAATTTAGTCATAAGTCAGGCAAAAAGGACGAGGCTATCTGTAACTATGTGCTAGAAGTGTGTGCTCCCATTCGGAGGACACTCATAGAACAGCAACGTGTCTACATTAACTGGTCTTCATGTGCGGTTCGAGATTACACACGCGTAACTAGATGTTACAAATGCCAACAGTATGGGCACTCAGCAAAGTTCTGCCGGGATACAGAGCCCACGTGCGGCCACTGCGGCGGTGCAGGCCACTCCATCAAGGAGAGTACTAAGCACGCGGAACCCGCGAAGTGCGCCACCTGTGTACGCTTTAACAAACCAGGTAATCATAAAACAGGAGATGAACAATGTCCTGCTAGGAAGAGCGCAATAGCGAGACACGTGAGTAATACTGATTATGAGGGCGCCTAGAGCGCCGCGTTCCTTCTCTACCACAGCACAAACACGGACTCCATTGTAAATGATCTAGCCCAAGACATTGATGCAACTTGCGAATATAAATCCATAACATGCGACCCAGATCAGTGCCCCATGTTTAATTCCATGTCTAATTCTAATTTAAAAATAGTTCTACAAAATATTAGAAGTACAAGTTGTAATTTTGACGGTCTTTTATCGTTACTAAACCCTATTAATTTTGAGCCTGACATCTTTGTTTTAACTGAGTGTAGATTACCCAAAACGTCCTCAATTCCACACTTGGATGGGTATAATTCGTATGTTAGTGAGGAAAGCAACGTATTACAGAACGATGGAGTAGCTTTTTACGTCAAAAACGACATACCCAACGTATTGATAGAGGAACCTAAAATAGTGGATGCTAACAGTTTGACTTTAAAAATTGAGAATGACATTGCAATTGTAGCAATTTATCGCTCCCCCTCATACAGAAATATCACAAATTTTTTACTTTCCCTAAGTGATATTATGAAATCACTTTCATCTTTCCGTAACGTATTTATTCTTGGTGACCTAAATATTGACATTAAGTTTGACAATGAAGATAGCAACTCCGGCGAATACTTAAATCAAGCAGCTTCTCGTGGCTACCTCCCCACTCATCAACATCCGACGAGAGACTACAATTGCTTAGACCATATATTAGCCAAAACCATCCTTACCGTAAAAACTATAGTATTAAAAACTACTCTAACTGACCACTATACCTTATTACTAAGCCTAGAAAAAAACTTAATTAGAACACAATCTTTTAATTCTTATACAGAACTAAATAAGGAGGGCGTGTCTCGTGAACTTGCAAACTTAGATAAGTCTCCAATATACAATTCAAGTGATGCTAACGCAGCGATGGAGTATTTGATCTGTTCGCTCACTAAAATAATAGAAAATAATACAACAAACAAAACATTCACGCGCCGCTATAAAATACTTAAACCTTGGATTACTCCAGGTTTGCTGCGCTGTATTAAAAATAGAGATAAATTACACAAAAAAATTTGTTCAGTTTCCGGATAATGCAATATTTAAAATTACTTGTTATAGATATAGAAATTTTTGTAACAATTTATTAAAGAAATTGAAACGTCAATACAAAAAGTTGCAAATAATTAATGCAGGTCATGATAAAAAAAGATTATGGAAAGTCATCAAAAATATCACGAACATGACTAACTCGAAATCGTCCGCTCTACAATGAATTGTAGATGCAGACAATACAGTGCAAACTGTTAACGCAGCAAATGAATTCTTCACTAGTGTAGGAAAACTTTTAGCTGAAAAAGCGGAAATAAACCTTCCGCTTTCAACTACAACCATGACCTCGTCACGCGCTTCACAACTGCACTCGTTTGTCTTAAACAACACTGACGAACTCGAAATTGAAAATATTATTATGACTTTAAGAAATGACTGTGCGACAGGAATTGACAAAATACCTTGTTCTTTCATTAAACAAAATAGATTACATTTGATTTCACCCCTGACTTACATATTTAATCTCTGTCTATCGACAGGAACGTTTCCCAAAGTACTAAAAACAGCCCTTGTAAAACCTATTTACAAAAGCGGTGATAAGAGCAATATTAACAATTACCGACCAATTGCCATATTACCATCTCTCTCTAAAATACTAGAAAAAATAATTTACAAAAGGCTTGTTAACTATTTAGAAACGAAGAAACTTCTCTCGACGTCCCAATGTGTGGGTTCAGACAAGGACTATCGACAAACGACGCAGTCGATGAGCTGACGGAATACATCGTAAGAAATTTGGACTTGAGGAATAAATGTTTGGCAATATTCCTTGACCTCGCAAAAGCTTTTGACACTGTAAACATACCAATACTTTTAAACAAGTTAGAAGCACTTGGAATTAGAGGAATACAGCTCAAACTTTTACAGGACTATCTTTCTGACAGAAAACAGCGCGTGACTATTGACAAAATAACGAGTGCTGAATTACCGGTTGAATATGGTGTTCCCCAAGGAAGCATCATAGGGACTATCTTATTCCTTGTCTATATTAATCAACTATGCGCTCTCCCCCTCTCTGGTGGCAAGATCATATCTTACGCTGATGACACAGTTCTATTATTCAGTGCCCCAAGTTGGAATGAAATCTTTACACAAGCTCAATTTGGTTTTAACTCGGTAACCGACTGGCTTAGAGCAAATGCCCTGACACTTAATACTACCAAAACTAAATACATCACTTTCTCCTACAATATTTCCTCACAACCTGTTGAGAATGCTTACTCAATAGTAGTTCACAATTGTGTTGGCCCTCGATCTCTTGGATGCCTCTGTACTTGCTCAAAACTGGACAGCACAAGCAATATTAAATATTTAGGTGTCATAATTGACCAACATCTCAATTTCAAACAGCATATACTGGCGCTAACTTCTAGAGTTCGAAAATTAATTTATGTATTTAAAAATTTAAGATACTCGGCCAGCAGCGCCCTTCTCAAATCAGTTTATTTAGCCCTTTGTCAATCACTGTTACTTTACTGCGTTACATCCTGGGGCGGTGCACATGAGACCGCTCTGATACACTTGGAAAGAGCGCAGAGAGCTGTTCTTAAAGTGATCAACTTTCGTCCTTTCGATTACCCAACCCACAAATTACTAAACGAGTGCGATGTTCTATCTGTTCGGCAACTGTTTATCCTGCAAATAATTATGAAAAAGCACTCAATTACTCCATATGATTACATGACTGTAACTAAGCAAAGACGACACGATCCCTTTTTATCTCGTACTCAACTCGGCACAGCACACTCACATAGATTCTTCTGCTTCCTTGGCACATTCCTTTATTTTAAAATAAATTCTACTTTGCATTATTTTCATATGAATAAAACTGAATGTAAAAAGACCGTCAAATTTTGGGTTAAGAGTAAAACCTACAATGATACCGAGAACTTGTTGGAAGTTATTTCATAATTTATATTTATATAATATGTAATGTTTAACTACTTATCTTTTATTTGTTAAATTTATAAAATCTTTTTTTTTTTAAGCTTTGTTATGAAAAATGCACTATTATGCCAAAAATACAGGTACACATGTACTTAGTTTAGACATCGCAATTGCACTGTTAGGCACTAAGATTAAAATGTTTAATTTTATCATGATTATTTTATATAATTTAGATTTTTTGTTGTTTTGTTTATTACTGTTATTTTAATATTTTATCTTCAATTACATTGTTTTCATTATAATTGTATTAGATTAAGTAATATTGAAATAAATTTATCTTTATCTTATTTATCTTTATCTTTATCTTTATCTTAATATATATATATATATATATATATATATATTTAATTAATAACTAATGTAACTATAGTTGCATTATTTTAGGCAGCCAAAACTGTGTGTGGTGATGACACATTTCGCAACCTCTTCAAAACGTATACGTAGCGATGTAACTTGTTTATTAATGCCACCACATGTTGCGACCAATGTTGCAGGCACTGTCTCTTTCTACGCCTAAGAATACTGTTAAGTTTACCTCCTGTATACCGACATCCTTGATTTAATATTAAGTTTCATTTTAGTTTGTCGACTTGTACCAAATTGAATGAATTTAGTTTTTGTCAAGTTTACAGTTAAATTATTGTCAATTAGCCAATTTATTATTAAATCTATTGTATTATTAATGTCTGATTCATGGTTAAAAATGTCATTTTTGTATGGTATTATGACTGAAATGTCATCTGCAAACAATATACATTTGTGTTGGGTAATCTCTGGTAGGTCATTTATGTACAGCAAGAATAATAGCGGGCCGAGAACGCTACCTTGCGGGACACCACATGCATTGACTCTATATTGCGATTTTGCTAACTCTACATAGCCATTTTTTGTTTGGTATTTTATTTCTACAGCCTGTTTTCTCTTTTCTAAATAAGAAGCCAACCAGCTGAGGGCCACACCTCTAACACCTAAGTTATTCAGTTTTATTCAGTAGAATATCATGTGATACAAAGAACGTGCTACTTTACATCCAGTGCAATTTAGGAACATTCATAAAAAAAAATCAGTGAAAAATATAGTGAATGGAAGTTTAAAACGTATTGGACGAAATATACTGGCTCTACCGTTTACTCATTTCGATGATGCTAACAATTTTATTAATAATCCTTGTTTAGAGACTTACAAATTAAAAGCTTTCATTCCAACATTTACTGTAACGAGTTATCATCAGCAATCTAAAATAGTCCAAAAGATTAAGTACCACTTGAAACTTCTGTGTTCACCGGAGAATGTTTTGGTTTGTTTATATGTGTAAAGTTTATTCTAATAGCCAAGTTAAATAATATTTTCCGACTCTATGAGCGCATTACAATCTTTTTATTATAATATAATAATTGCCTAAGTTTCCATTTAGTTTATGACTAAATGCATCTCAATGCATTTAGTTTAAACCAGCTGATTTGCCCCGTTATATTAGAAACTAGAAATTTACTTCATCAGTGAGTGTACATTAAAAGGTTATTCTGTAGCGTTCCTTGGGTGCCGAGTCATTGCGGCATCACAGGCAATTAACGAATTTGGCGATGATTTATGTCAGGAATTCCTGGCAGGAATGTTGGACTGTTAGCAGCTGAATGTAGAGGTCGTTATATGCGAGTATACAATTCTATTCCTACTAAGTCTTGGTTTTCCAAAATTAAATTTGGATAGTTGGCCACAAGTGTACTGGTTCGCATGAGACTGGGGGATGTGTCTTGTCCGACCTACTTAGCCAAGTTTAAAATTATAGACAGGAATCTTTGCGAGTGTGGAGAGACAGAGGTGATCGAAATCATATTGTACTGATCTTCCTTTATACGATCATTCCTTTTTATACCATGTCCTCATCTCCATTGACTTCCCTCTTCCTAATACTGTAAAGCTTATATATTTTATCATTTATTAGTTCTATTATCTATAAATATGTAGCTATATATTACATTTGTTCATACTTTTTTATATTTAGGTATTTCTATTTAACCTTAATCGCACTCACCGGATCCTTTCTTCCAAATTATTTTCCTTTCCGTACTTACGTAGTATTCCGTAAATAAGTTTGCCCGTTTTGCATAGGCAGAAATGCAAACCGCGAAGTGACAGAAACAAAACAAAAAGGAACTTGTAATGGTAGTTCAAGTTATCTCATTTCCATTTCCTTTCATAAATTCCATCCATCATTGGTTAGATTTACTTACCACCTATCCTATCCTGTTGATCACTTTTCCAAAATTCCGTTTGCTTTGATTTTTATTTCGCGATTTCCTTTCCCCGTTCTTAATTTCATATTAATATCCATAAACCCAACCAAAGTTCCACAACAACAACTGCAACGACAATAATAATTATCCTGAAATCTCAAGAAGCAAGAAAATATTTATTTGGAAGAATTATCAAAAATTTGCAACTCGGTGGAAATTGCATATGGCCAAAAACTGGACGCCATAGTGCCAAAGTATAAAAAGAAAAAAAAAGTATGTGGAAGAAAGTTTTTTGATTTTGTCCGAGGATGGAACAAAATATTTTTTTCACATTTTAGCTTTGAACCAACGCAAGTCAATTTACTCTTGTTTTTATTACAAATACAAAGAGTGTAAAACTTATAATTACGTTAAGTTTTAAAGAAATGTGCGGGCGTACTGGCTTGTAAGTCTTTGATTTTAGTTTAAGTAGGTAAATTTAAAGTAAAAAAATATTATAATACTGTTGGAGAGTTTTGTCACACTTATATTAGATAATAGGCACGGGATATATGTATAAAGAGCCCAAAAGTTTGGTTTGTTTGAAAAAATAGCAAATTTTCATGATTTAGATCCCAACAAATAGTTTCATTTCCAATGTGTAAAAACTTGAACTTGATTATATCATTAGGTGAACAAATTTAATATGAAATCATCATATTGTTAAACATTCCTTATCTACTGTTATCTAGTAAGAAACTCTTAGAGGTTCTTTGCAATATTTGTTTACATTTATATCATATGGATAAAAATGAAAACAAATAATATAAATAAATATAACAAACCTAAACAACAACAGATTACTCCTATGGATTTTTGTTATACAAGTGCGCAGAATCTGAACACCTTTTCTAGTTCCACAATAGGCAAATATAAATGGTAAATTTAGAATACGAACAGCAATCTTACAATATAATTGTATACATTGCTCCATAAATAAGTTTGTGACTGTCAAGAACTGTGAGAAATTACTATACTATTCTTAACATTAGTAACATTTTTATGAATTTACTGTAGTCAAAAATGAATACTCATTGTATTATGAAGTTTTGGTATAGGTTGGCAGCGAGATGATCCTTGTTTCCTTCTAAACAATGAAATGATTTTATAGGTCATTGGGTAGAGATCAATTGCGTTGTGCTTGTAGCTACAGACCTAAGAATGAAGATAAGTACAAAAAGCCTGAGTGGTTGGAGGAACATAATGCTGGCAAGTCATACACACCTTCTTATAATATTGCACCAAGTGACATCACACCGGTGCTTGTATCCAGCAGGAAGTTCAAAAATACTGCTGCTATTGCATTGAAACCCATGATGTGGGGAATAATACCACCTTGGCACAAAGTAAGTAAGATCACTCATGCATACATTAACCTAATATCAAGTTACGATATTAGTACAGGCCATCTTCAACACCTGAAATTCCAGCTGTTGTGCTTTTGTGCTATAACCAGTGACCGGAATTGAGGTAGTTAATCTACCTGAAGTATAAACATATTCTTAGTATAGACATACCCAATTCGTCATCAATGAATATAAAATTTCTTTATTTTTTACTGATTGTTTTTAATAAATAGTAAAAAATAAAGTGGTTAATTTAAATGTTTAATTCCGACTAAAGGTCTCATGTTTATTTTTTAAATGGCTGAAGTATTTAAATATGTAAGTACCTGTAGAAACACAATTACAATATTATTTTTGAGACAACAATTAGTAGCAAATACTTAATAGGAAATACTAATTTGTCACCAATGAACTCAAATTTCTATAAATAATATGCATATTCAAATGAGTTCCGAGAAGTCCTAGGTTTTGTAGAAGGGAATGTCCACATTTTTGTTTAGTTTACCTAAATTAACTCCCTCTGTTCCAATCACTGGCTATCAAACAATTGCCTTCTTGTCAGTACATTCTGCAACTTATCAGGCAGCATTTCTGTCATAAAGCCTTTAAACTAAGAGTGAGTAAATCTAAGTTCCCATGAGTGATAACATCAGATGTGTTTAAACATTTTAAGTGTCTGAAACTTGACAATTATGAATAAATATCAATTTAAACCTTATCCAAGGTCTACTGAAAAGCCAATTCAAATATTTATTTATACCTTTGTTTTTACCATTGATACTTAATAAAATACTTGCTTAGAAAAATTATGTTTCAAACAATGCATAATGTTTGTTTTCAATCATTGTAGTTTTTCTAGCAAAGCTTTTTCTCCAGTAACCTGTTTTATTACTCATTTTCAGGGAGACTACAGATCACATAACCTCAGTACAAACAACTGCCGTTTGGAGAATATAAAAAATTCAAAACTTTACAGTCCAATCCTCAAAGGTGGTGGTAGATGTGTCATTGTAGTGGAGGGCTTCTATGAATGGCAAACAACTAACAAATCATCTAAAGTCAAGCAACCTTACTACATCTATGCACAGCAAGAGGATGAAGTGAAGGTTCTTTACTTTTCTGAAGTAATCTTTGAGAATTCCATAAAATATAATAATTAATTTTGTACTCATATTGTAGATAGATGAACCTGATACCTGGAATAATAGTTTTAGTGAAGATAAGGGATGGTCGGGAATCAAACTTTTGTACATGGCTGGGCTGTACAATGTATGGGAAGGGGATCATGCTGTAATATACTCTTATTCTGTTATAACTATGGACTCCAATACAACACTCAGTTGGCTTCACCACAGAATGCCAGCAATGTTGGAAACAGAGGAACAAATACAAGTTAGTACCTATATTGTGAAAACAGGCATCATTAGCTAAAGCCCAACTACTGTCATTTAGATGCTACTGGTAATGATAATTTAAGATGTGCTTTTGTAAAATACTAACAACTTTGCAGGATTATATTGCTGTTCCATGACTTTTAATGTCATTAGATTTTACTTCCGAACAAAATTAAAAATGTTCGGCTGTCAATAGACAACAAAAAAAAGCGCTAGCGCCAGCGTAAACAGTAGTCCAGTGCAAAACGCAAGGGCGAGGATGGGGGTTAGTTGGGGAGGATGCTTGCATGTTTGAACTTATTACCTTACAACCAAGTATAGATCTAAAAGGTGTGGGTTAGTACCTACAACAAAACTTTAATAATAAATAAATAAATAATTTTGTTGTTATTTGTGATATAATATAGTTGTATTAGATTTAGTATTTTACAAGAAACCTGTATTTTGCTTTAATTAAATTAAGTGTATGTACCCAAGTAGTCTAGCTTTTATTATTCAAAGATTACGTTCTTAACTATTTGTAACCATTGAGAATTGGTGAGCTATTAACCAAGAAACTCTTAACTTTACTCACATAACCCTTCCAACAAACAATTATTTTTTAAATCAAACGTACATAACCAAACAACACAAATATAACAACACATTGAAAACCCGACGCAAAAAGAGGAGTTTCTAGTTTGAAGCCTTTGTGACACAAAGGCTTCAAACGGCCTTTGTGACACAAAGGCTTCAAACGAGCATCAAATCAATTTTTTATTTGAAGGCTAAATCGGGATGGGTCTTAGCTTCGTCTGATGAAAAACTGCAAAGCTATTTAAAGTATAGATATAAGGAGTGACATACATAGTATAACCACTCTTATGAGTGGTTAAAACCACCAAATATTAATTATTACCTATTCACATTTCGGATTTCCGGAAATAGTTTTACTGCATCTTAAGATAAAACTACTTATCCAGAAAGCTGAAGTTGGTTTTTAACCAGTCCAAGTCACTCCTTGTAACTATAGAATCTAAACACACGTTTATCTACTCATTTGAACACCCTGTTCTGACCATTGCTGATGATGGAGCTAAGCTTTATTAATGGTAGACCCACTGAGTTGTGCTTGTTGGGTTGATCTCAAAGAGAGTAGGCAGACAGATGATGAATTTATTTACTTTTTAGGGTTTGCTCTTTTGTATTCTTTAAGTTTTATTATTAGTCTGGGCACCAACAAATACGAAATCTTTTAAAGGGTAACAATTTTAGGTACAGTTTCACAACAGCATGTCAAGCGTGACACTTTGTCTTTGGACCGTTCTTGTCGTAAGTGGCATAGACTTGGATTTAAATCTTAAGTGTCAAGCTTGATGTGCTCATGAACCTGTACCAATGCCAATTATAGGTAACAAATAAATGTTTTCAGGCATGGTTAGACATTGACGAAGTGGGGTCTGATATGGCTCTGGCTTATTTAAAGCCTGCCAAAATTCTTAAGTGGCACAAGGTTTCCACAGCAGTTAACAATTCCAGGAATAAATCAACAGAATGCAACAAAAGGATGATTGAAACACCCACCACCCAGAAAACTCTGACTGCATGGTTCAAACCAACTACCAAGAGAAAGTCTGATGAAGATAATTCAACATCTAGTAAAAGGAATAAATTGTAAAGACAACTATGTAATCATTAAAACCTTTTAATTACGTGCATTCTATTAGTTATTTTCACATTCTATAACACTTTTTCAAACATCAACAACTAATAAAAATAAACCCGCAATGGCTACTTTTTGTAGATTTTGTTTGTACACAGTATGTACCATTTACCTGATCAAACTTGTGCAACAAAAAAAAAACAATTTGGATGTTCTGCCATGTGATGTAAAGACAACTATGTAATCATTAAAACCTTTTAATTACGTGCATTCTATTAGTTATTTTCACAATCTATAACACTTTTTCAAACATCAACAACTAATAAAAATAAACCCGCAATGGCTACTTTTTGTAGATTTTGTTTGTACACAGTATGTACCCAATGATTTACCTGATCAAACTTGTGCAACAAAAAAAAACAATTTGGATGTTCTGCCATGTGATAAACACTGTTCCCAGATAGTGTTATATTAGAACAGCAGAAAAAAGCACTGTGCCACGTGATTTACACACTCAGTGTCCTAAAAAAACAAGTTTCACCCTTATTTCGAGACTTCGACCACGAAAATACACTGTAGGTATTCTTAAAATAATAAATTTCCAGTTAATGTTTTCTAGCGAAAATGTTGCACTAATACTTAGTGCTTTGTCATCACACAGCACGTATGTACATATTATGTACTACAAACTACGAATCCACGTTACTTAACACATTACAATATTTGTTTTCATGAACTATCCCTTAACACACTAAATGTTTCACAAAATAGTTAGATTTTAGTTTTAAAATCGGGTATATGCATTCTTTGTTATTGCTGACAATAACAAAAAATACATATACCGTCTTATTACACCCAGCATCAGAATTACCTGAATGATCAATCCATAGGTCCATAAAAGTAAATATACCAATGCCATTAGCAGAGACAAAAATCTTGTTTCAATTTATATATGTGGCTTGGTACAAAACTTACCTACACAGTCCATATTATTTAAGCACTTCTTATACAGTTAACACCACATCAAGCTTGACACTGTACTTTGGACTGTTCTTATCGTAAGCGGCATAGAGTTGGATTTAAGTCTTAAATGTCAAGCTTGACAAGCTCTTGACTTTGTACCAAGTCACAGGATATATTTAAGTAAAATCAATCAATTGAATGTGCACCTATGAAAACGAAAATATTTGTCACAGTCACATTAACACTTCTTCAGCACATCAAAACATACTCATTGGTAAACAAATTCAACAAGAAATATCGTTAGTAATTATACTAAATATTTTCAATCCTAAATTGTTTATAATCTGCTTCACATGTAATCATTTTGTGGTTTTCCAAAAAATCTGATACAAAGCTTTGTACTTCATATTCAGCTGAAACAAATAAATGTGTTACTTTGTAACTGTTGCAATAATTCAGCAGAAAGAAAATAGAAATAGAAGTTCATCCATGGAGATCACAAGAGGTCAAATGCAAGTTGCAGGTATTTAAAGCTGCACAGGCCCTGCTGTATAAGCAAATACTTACAAACTACTTTGGATACTATATGAATAATTATGTGATACACTTTTAATAAACAATATTGTCTTGGAATTAGCTAAAGTTCCTTGTAAAAATATTTTTTATTATTACTTCATCAAAACAATAGATAACTTTAGACAAGTTAGAAGGGCCACAATATATAGACAGACAAGTATGACAAAGATAAAAATGGTTCTTAGTATATCTGTAGAACAATAAAAGTGGTTACTGACTCAGTTAAGCAGTAGGCCACAATTGGTCAATTCATCAATAACAAGTTGTTTGAAAAAATTGGCCAATGGCTTGTCTGAAATAGTTTTTTAAATAGTTTTTTTGGAATTGTTTCATTAATCTGGTAGGCACTTTTTTAATCAACTTGTTAATGAATATAGTCAGAAAAATGTTGTTATCCCACATGCAGCATGGCAAACTATTACATAAACTGTCACTCCTCCCGCACTGCGCCAGTACTTTAAGAACTGACTCAGTTATATGGTAGGCTATATTTAGTAATTAATAAATATAAAAAATCTTACTTGGATGCCGACTGCACTGATAAATGAGTCTTATCAAATGCTTTGCCAAAGCTTTAAACAAGGCCTTTCCTCTGATACGCCCTTTGATGTAGTAAGGTGTTAACAGTTTAACAATCCATGGGGCAATCCGCTCCTTGCAACTGAGAATAAACTCTGGAGTTTCTTCTAGAGGTGAAACCATTCCTTCATCATCACTGTCTTCACCAAATAGCTCCAGTAACAATTCTTTTATCTAAAAAACATTTATCACAAACTTATTACTAAAATAAATTGGAATAATTATAGTACATTTAGTTTGCAAAATATAGTTCAGTGCATATTATTTACCCTAGCAAGTTTCTTTCTATTTGTATCACCAATCAGATCTAATAGTTCAAAATAACGAGTTTTCAAAAAGTATTCTTCACACAACCACTTAGTAGAATTAGGCTTTTTGACCTTTTGTGGATCAACTTTATCTTGAGTCATATTATTGTTTTCAGTAGTATTTGATAACATCATTTCTAGAGAAACTAATCTCTCATCTAAAGATTTTATTTCAGCCGAATGATTTCCAACCAAAGAATCCTGATTTTGAAGTAGTAGTTTAGAACAACCAACATTTTCATTTCGTATTTTTTTAGCAATATCATCATTCACCACAGAGTCAAGTGTATCACAGAGTGCACTCTCAAATAAGTCAGCATCATTAGGATCTCCTTGGAACAGTTTTTCCAACTGTACCATTAATTCATCAGATTCCTGGGTTTCTATGGACATACGTTTTGAGGATTTTGGTGAAAAGTGTATTTCTGGTTTACTTATATTTATTGATGAATTGTTTTGTGGCATCTCTTTGTTTGAAACATCAACATTTATTTTAAAGACTTGGGTAAAACCTTGCGGTTTGGTAATTTGAAATGTATTATCCTTATTTTTAACCATTTTCTCAGTGTTAAATGGCGATTCAGGAGACATGTTGCGTCGTCTTCTTTTGAGACTGCGATGACACTGACAATTACAATCAGGGGGATTCAAGGTGGTTTGCAATTTCTTTTCATTCTCTGGTGCTCGATGTAAGCATTCATACAAGTTTTTGTTGAGTTTACCTCGCTTTGTGTCGGTCCTTAGCTCTTTTATCTGAAATGAGGCACTATGTAGACACTAGAAAATAAAAACATAACTGATAACTATTGCTTAAACTTTATTAAATACTTACTGCTGTAACAATATATTTTCTGTAAAGTTGTACTACCATGCACATCTGAGCAGCCTTCATTTCAATAGTCTTAGCACACCGCCATATAGCACTCGGTAAATAAATACTCTTGTTCACAAGTTTTTGACTTGTTTCATAATTTAATGATAGTTGTTTTATTAAGTAATCCATGTAATGTTTGCGAACCTAAAACAGACATCATTCACTATACAAGTCATGTAATAAAAAATTACTTTACAATGTACTCCACTTAGCCGCATCATAAAGAATGTGAAGTATATTTCAATGGCTTCCTAGTACAGTGGCTTAACTCAAAATCAACCAATTCATGGGGAAACGGTTTAGAAACAACTAAAGCATATGCAACTCCAAATCTGAGGAGTCATACATTGGTCTTTGTGATCACTTTTTTAAATTTAATTAATAAAAGCTCAGTGTGTTTTGCACTATAAAATTTAGCATTCTGAATGCAACTGTGTTTTGACATTGAAATGGACTATCTTGGTTTGAGCCACTGTTTTTGAAAAGCAGCGATTTATTAAGGTAATGTCCCCATAATACAAACCTAAAACAAAGTGTATACTGATGCATGAACTTACCTTGGATATGAGAATGTGAGGTTCATGTTCAATGTCTGGTAAGGGTACGTACGATTCGTCATACTCTCTTATTAATTTATCTACAACGGCATCGGAGTCCAATAAATCGTCAGAAAAATCTATTTTGTTATCATTTATGCCGGCGGCGGCGGTTACCGTAAAAAATGACATTTCAATACCTCAGTGTATTTACTAATTGCTTTATTTTACCATAAAATTATATGTAGTGCTTTCTTTTCTCATTTATTATTGTTCATCCAGCGGTAACACATTAATTTGTTTTTATTTCAACCACTTTATTTTGATAGATTGTAAATATGAACACACAACGCATTAATTACTACACAAGTCTTCTTACTTCAAGTCTTCAGTTTGTTCAAAAACCGAATGACATGCACCGCGCCGCACAGATAAAAAATGGCATGGATCATGGATCACAAACCACTAATGCAAGGATTAAATGTTTTGGTTTGGTTTCAAGAAGCCTTTTGGTTTGGTTCGTTTGGTTGTTTGGGGTGTCTGTCCGTCATTGGTCATAGACTACCTAGCCTTCTAAACAGTATCTCATTCAAATTCATTTTAGATAATGAAAAAATAACAAGCGCAGTAGCGTACAGTATTAGCTCTTAGAAAAATTTTGTTACATTATTATTCTATTTTAATAAACTTTATTTTTTGCCATCCTCTAAGATGTACATACATACAATACGTAATTATTTAAAGACTGTTGGAGCACTTAGGGTCGTATTCCAGAACTCTACTCAATGGTCAACTAAGCACTTGAGTTTTTGAGTATGATAGCACTAGAAATTATACTTAAGTCCTTGCTATTAGAGTCGTATTTAGTACTTGAAATCATACTCAAGTCCTGACTTGAGCATTGAGTAGAGTTCTGGAATATGACCCATAAACATTCATAACTCAGCTCAGTTATGTATTTCTATTTCCTACCATTTTTTACGTGTGATATATTGCATTTTATTTCATGAATTTCTAAATAAAAAATGTATGTAAACAAATCTATTTTGTTATTTTTCTTTTATTATCACTGGCAAAATGGTACTTATATCCTAAGATAATACACGTTTTATTTAGGTTTTAATAAACCTATTAATGCAGGGTTCTCTTTTGGTACTATGAGTAATACGTTAATTACTTTATTGGGAATTTTAATCATTGTTCATTTTTATTTTTAAACCTGTGTATTTGTATTATTACATTTATCTTTTACGAAATCTATGGTGTGAAAAACCATATAAATAAAAAGAGCAATTTAAGGCTGCCAACAGATTGACTGCGTGTTTGCAGTTACATGCGTGAAGTCGACGACTGCAAGAGTGCATGAAGTTGATAACGGTTTCACGCATTAACTATGAGGTCTCGGATAACGACTACACGCATTAACGACAAGCTGTCGAAACCGATTTCATACAGCCGAGATCGATTGCATGCAGTTAATACGTGAAGATGATTACGACTTCACGCATTAACTGCAAACATGCAGTCAATCTGTTAGCAGCCTAAGGTTGAGTATTTCCAAAACATTGCCTTTAAAAAAATATCTCAAGACTCATGACCCAGTTTATTTTTATGAGCTGCTTGCTACGGGTATTGATAACATTTTTGCAAAAGTAGGTACTTACTGAAAATGGGTGATGTACAGTCAAGAGCACATCAAGCTTGACACTTTGTACTTTGCACCGTTCTTGTCGTAAGCGGCATAGAGTTGGATTCAAATCTTAAGTGTCAAGTTTGATATGCTCTTGACCCTGTACTTACTTGTCCCGTCCATCACGCATATTAGTAACAGAAGTTTCAGAGACGGCATTTTCCCTGACTGCTTAAAAGCAGTACTAATAAAAAGCATTTTTAAAGCCGGGGCGAAGATAGTGTCAGTAATTACAAACCTATCTGTATACTACCTTCGTTGTCAAAGATAATAGAGCGATTAATAAATAAGACCCTGAGGAATCAGGTACTTGCATAAGTAGGTATCATATTATTTGTAATGAATCAATATGGCTCCACTCACTGTAAGTCTGCTGAACACGCTGTTAATGACCTAATTTCAAGTCACACAAATGTAACAAAGGAAAAAATGTTTGGCAGTGTTTTTGGATCTAGCAAGTCCGACCGACAAATTGGAAAAGATAGGCATAAGAGGCACTGCTATGGAGTTATCTGCTAGTTACCTAAATAACCGAAAACAGCTGGTCATAATCAATAATCTAGTAAGTGATGCTCAACAAACACTCTGTGGCGTACCACAAGGTACCGTTCTTGGCCCTACCTTATTTTTTATTTATGTAAACAATCTGCGCAACCATTACCAAGATAAAAGATAAGTTATTACTTTCGCTGATAGTATAACTCTAGTTTTTCATCAAAAATCACACTCACAAATCACTGCTTACAAAACCTATTCGCAAGCTGACATATTTATTTACTTGTTTCTGAAATGAAACTGCTTAAAAGACCTATCTCACACTATGCCAGTCTATAGTAACATATTGCATTGCAGCATGGAGAGAAACATGATGATGATGATGAATTCTCCTGACCGTTTTCGGCTATGGCAACTGCTTGAGCTTTGCTATTGGTGGCGCTCTTGCGCTCTCACGTACCCTATCTTATTATTGAAGATCACAGGAGGCACGTGAGCTCACCTTCCGTGCAGTGGTGGCTGATCGCCGCAAGTGGCCGGCCTGTCAGGTCGTCACGTCAGACGTCAACTCAATTCCTCGACGGGTCTCAAATTCAGAGGTCTTATCTTTTTTTTATTTGCCACAAAAGACGGGGGAGGGTCATATAAACACTACATCAATACGAGGAAGCGGTGCAGATTCGTACACTTTTAACTTCAAGTTTGGGCTACTAAATGAACATAATATTTTTGATCAATTTATGATCAATCTACAATGTTAGTTCCATGGAACTAAAAGACATTACTAATTTAATCTTTACTTTTCTTGAATATCAGTGAATAACTTAAAAATTTTGATGTTACCAAAAAATGGGAATTAAGCAATTCTGCCCCACCTGTGGGTTGGGGTACTTGATACATCGCTTGGGACAATTTGATGTGTGAATCAAAGGAATGTGCCATTCCTGATTGCCACGTATAATCAGCACTAAATAATCTACCACCATTCAAAAATGTAGTCTTGAAAGTAGAAATACAGCAGGGAGAGCCGACTACAGCGCAGAATGTCACTAGTTCACCTCTTTCTACAGATACTATTTGTGTGAATTTGTGATTCGTTGATACCCTCTCATTTAAATAACGAAAGAACTTTGTAACGGTAGTTTTTCTAAACATAGCTTCTTGCTGCACAAAGCCCTTCCCCTGCTTAGTAGTGAATACTTTTAATCCTGTATACTTAAAATTGTCTTTCTTGGTAATTCCAATGCCGTGCCGTCATAGATTTAGTACATGGTGCTGTAAATTACAAACATTGCATATTTATATTCGTATTTACTTGCTGCTTGTCGTAAAGACAAGCATTTGCAGCAACTTCAGACATAGCAGACTTGTCTTCATTAATGAATTTCATAATTAATTTGATTTCTAGCAATTTTGTAATTTACATACATAATATTATTGTCCGTTTTACCATAGTAACGGGCCGCCTATACTGAAGTGTGCCGACGATTTTCCATATAAAACACACGCTATGATGGAGTATTGGTGTCCAACCCTAACTTAGCAAGATACTAAAAAAGGAAGCTCTTTAGCCACAAGGAAATAAAATAACAAGTTAATATTATAGAATTTAATTAGGGTACATATAAACGTTTTGTAAGGCTGGTTTCAGAGCAGTGCGGATTTATCTGCGGACCGTCCGCGCGGAGCACCAGAGCGGAGTAACACGTGCTTTAGAACATCTTTTTACAGTGACGCAGATTGCTCCGCGTGAACTCCGCACAAGCCACCCGTGCGTTTATTGTAAGCGACTGTCTTTTGTGAATATCCGCACTAAATTAAATACTCGATTCAGAGAACTGCGGATTCTACGCATGCGGATGGCTCGCTGGCGGACAGTCCGTACGGACTGTACGCACAGCTGTGAAATCAACCTAATGTATAATAACTAATAAGCACTTTTGAGTAGCAGGTAAAAATTTGTGAGTAGTATTTTAAACACCTGTATAATACATATACAATTTAGAGGGAGATACACAAATAAAACATTTATTGGGGAACCCATCTGTTGGTGCTGTTGTTGTCACCAGTGCTGTAACATCAAAACACCAATCCACATAAATATAGCCATTTATTTAAATACGCGAATTATAATTCAATGTTAATATTATAAAAGTTAAAAATGAAGTTCCCCTTGCTTAAGCAATAAGAAATCAGCATAATCATACAGTTTTAAAATGTTTACATTCCATATTTAGTTAAAAATAGTTAAATCATTACTACTATAAAGGAAATCACACTGATATTTCGAAAGCCAACAAAACAAACATAAGCATACTAATAAGACTAAGTGTTAGCGTAAAACAATATTAAGTCCAGTAAAGGGCGCATCACCGGTCGGAGCCTCGGTGGCTCCATATGTACAACTGATGCTCACTAACAACATTGACGACGGCCACAAACTTTACCCCTTAAAGTGCAATATTACCGGAATCGCTCAGAATCGAGGTCGCGGCTGGATAAATAATATTACAATAGACTACCGTATTATCTAACGAGTAAACAGTAAATACTTTTTTCTACCGCTGTCTATACACGGCGGTGAGGCATCGGCTAGCGTCGGGTGCGACAATAGTGCGACTTGTATCACTGGAGATTTCTCACACCTATACCGATCGACAGGCGCTTGTCACGAACGACCTAGGCTCCAAGGCAAGTCACAAAGTGGCTGGTCATATCAGTGTGGGCTCGACATCAGCGCTGCTAACGGGGCGTGGGCGGGAAGAGCGGGCGCCAGCGCTGGGCCCTCCCGCGCCGCGGAAGGAGGGCGGCCGGCCCGGAGGCGCTCGCGCCGGCGGGGGCGGGCCGCGGGCGAGAGCTTGCCGCGACGCGTTCCTACCTGCCCTCTGGCAGTTGTCGCGCGGCGGCGTGCGCACGCGCCGCTGCTTCCTAAACAGAAACACTGCATTACACACAATGTACTTGTTTTAGTGTCTAACTGCTTAACGGTCACCATGCTGGTTTGCCACGCAAATGTCCCGGGTTCGATTCTCGGGCCGGCCTATAATAATAATAACGTACACACTCAACATAGCCCCGTACTAGGGAAACCCTGTGTCGCGGGTGCCATAGACACACACGAAGACAACCACAAATTACACCCAAACTCACGAGAGAAATAAATGTAGGCCATACAAATATTTCTCCCGACCCGGGAATCGAATCTGGGACCTCTGCATGGCAGTCCGGCATGGTAACCGTTCCGCCACGGAGGCAGTTATAAATATATGTATAGCCTACATTTCTTTCTCTCGTGAGTTTGGGAGTCATGTCATGTCCATGGCACCCGCGACACAAGGTTTCCCTAGTGTGTGCATTATATTAGTGACGGGACGAACAATGGGATTATGGGGCACTGCCACTGCACCCGACACCCTGAGACATAAGTTGACAAGTGCCATGTGCCTGTAATTTCACCATCGCCCTTACCGGAACCGGAACACAGCGATACTCAAATTACTGTTTGGCTGCAGAAATAGGTAAGGCTACTCAAAATTACTTTATTACTATCACCTGCGTAGTTTAGAAGTTGAGCAATACCTTGGTGCGCGGTTGTGGTTTAGCGCGTGGTAACGGTTGCGCAGCAGCGGGGGGTGCAGTGGCGGTGAGGGGCTGCTCGGGCTGCGGCGCGGGCTGCGGGGGGGCGCGCGGCGCGGGCGGGGGGGCGCGCGTCTGCGGCGCCGGCCGCCCTAGAGACGCCAGCATCAGCCCGCGCAACAGCGCCGCGCGCGATTCCGCCTCCGCGCTGTCCGGGGCGCTTGTCGATCCTTCACATAAAAAATCGGCTCATAAGTTAGTGTAGTCGAGTCATACAACCGCATAAACTTTCTATTAAACCGTGTACCTGTACCTAAGAAACCAGATAGTAGAAATTGGGATTCAGTTGTTTCCTGTGGTGGCGGGGGCTGCTGCGCGGGCTGGGGCGCGGGCGGCGGCACGGTCGTGGCGCCGCCTGATGACGATGACGCCGCTGGTCTGCGTGGCAGTCGCTCTAATTGCTGCCGAGCCGCCTGTGTTAATTGATTATTAATTCAGTGCACCTCGATATGTCCACGTACAGTGTTACTACAGTCATTAAAACCATTATGTATTTTCATTACATTAAAGTGCATCGTTTTAAAACTTCTTTGTAATGCAGTTTAATTAAAGTAGTACAAGTAATTTTGATTAACATACATTTGTTAATATCTTACTTTTCTTCCTATTTGTAAAGTTTATCATATTCTTCTATATTTATTATTTAAAATTAATATACTACTACATGTTATATAAATTTAAAGTGTGATTAACT